TTGAGTGCGAGTTCTTCACTCCACTTGTGTGCTCGTCACTCACCCCGTCTAAAAAAAGGGTGGCATCCCTAACTTACTCATCTTCACTGTGAAACTCTCACTGATTATTTCTACACTCTGGATGCTCTTTTGTGTCACATTGAAAGACCACTCTCGTCCAGCGTGGTCTTGGATGTTGCTGCATGTTATATTAATGGAACTGATATTCATATTAGTCAAACCGCAATTATCACTGGATGGTTGATTAGTATTCACTGCTAAATTCATCGCGTTAACAGAACAGTTATAGTTGATGATACCAGAAAAACTATTTGTGCTTCTGGATGTCAAATTAATTGAACCTCTAGGTGAGACAGCACACGTTGGGACTAGAAAGAAACGGCAGAAAGATATTTAACATGAGCTCGAGTGAGCGCTGACAAACAATATTATAGTGCCATTAAATGAAACTGCTCACTCATGCTAAAACACGAAACACTCTGTAGTTCATTGAAACCGTTCACTTCTTCTGGAAGACAAAACGTACAAAGTCACTGATTTATGGCACAACATACCTATATCTCAGAAGCTTCCCAACGAACATCTGATAACAAACAGTGTGCTGTTCTCTACAAGTGTTTGGAAACTTTTCGCTTAGTTCACAACCACACTACAATGAACCTCGTCTACGAACACTTTCCATGGATTTCCTCATCATACTAACAAGCTCACTTTCTACAGATTCTTCACACTTGAACGTTCAACCTCTACAAGTTGGATAGACCGAGCAATTCAAGCGAGATTAATTGCTACGGCCTTTCCTTCCAGTTTCATATTAACTTGCCTTTGAAAAACAGCAGTGTCCAGTTCTACAATTCCATTGAAGATCCTAGAACTCGCAGCATTCGACACATTCAAATATATACTGTTAATAGGATTCTCGTCAGAATCTGACTGAATTTTGGTAGAATTCTAATTCTAGTTCTACTAGAATCTGGCAGAATGGAGCAGAAGCTGCCAACTTGTAGAGAGAATGTGATAGTCGGTGAGAGTAAGTAGCGATACTTTGAATCCTTCAGAATTTTGGTATTTTCACGGAATCGTGCAACTCTTGAAAAAGAGGAGATACGTTCACTGCAAAGTGTTTTTCGCTCGTTGGACTCAAGGTTTGAAGTTTTCAAATAAACAATGAAGAAATGGTAATCAAAACAAAAGACATGGATGTAAAGTTAAGAAGCCACTAACTCTATCAAAGACTAGTGTGAAGCTGGAAAAGATGTGTATATAGGAGATCGAATACTAGAAGATGAAAGAGGTAAACCTACCATCTTATGGTCTAAACACAGCACATTTTCTTGTTCGAACTTCATTTAATAATAGCTGGTTCCGACTTACTTATGGTAGTGGTTGGTTTTGTTGTTATATCGTCTGACAATGCCTGTAAAAGAAGTACGAAGATTATCAACTCATACTACTCAGCTGTCAGAGAACATTGTCACACTGTTTGTTGAAAAAAGCATTCTGTTTTGTTCGGCTGAGGCACGTAAAGACCCCATTATTTTTCTTATTCAAAAAACTATTTCAGACACACTAAAGATTTAAAGAAATACACAGTTGACACAGTTGAGTGAATTAAACATTTTTCTGAAAAATGAGATTTGCCTCGGCTCTGGAAGGTTGATTGAAGTTAACACTCCATTTTGGTTTTTCTTTCTTGTTAAGGAAGCAAATCAATTGAGATACTTTAAAACGGCAATTACCATGTCTATGGCTTGTCTAGCTAACGGTCCGCTTGTTTCGCTTTTTTTCAAAAAATTATTACAATAAAGCTACAGATTTATCTAAAATTGCAACTAGATAATTAAGCAGATTAAACATTTCTCTATAAACTGAAAAGTGGCTGTGCTCTGAACGCTGATTCATTATGAAAATACAGCTGTTGTACAAACAGCCCAAACGATCGACTTATGGACTATCTGAAAAACGTGTCTGAAAGAGTGAAGACGGGCAGGCGAAAATTAAACAAGCATACCAGTTGGTAGAAAATTGTATGCTCTACAAGATGTGATAGCTTGCCAAGTTCGAAACTATTCTAATTAATCTGTATTAATCAGAGAAAAACCAGAAAAACGGTAACGCTATGACGTTGTTGACCGTTTTTTGTTACAGTATTACCGGTTTCTAGAGTCATAACATTCATCATTTGTGGAGAAACGCCTACTATTCTTTTGTTTAAACCTGTAGTTTTTCCTACTATTTGTAATTAGATTTTGAAACAGAGGAAAACGAGACTGTTGTGTGCCAAAGTCGTTGTGTTCTTTATTTATAACAGAAAATCACTAAGATGAGATTGACATCTACTTAGTACTTCGTGTCGAAGCTGAATGATAATTAATTCGTCATAGAAAGACTTCAAGAACATAACAGAAATGATTAGTGAGCAGTTCCCAAATATCTGTTTAAAGTGTGCACGGCTCAGGATATTATACATTATATTTAGTTCTGACATATTGGAAGAAATTTGTTTATGCAAGCAGAAACCTCAATGATGTTCTCACCATTCTCGGATCTTGCGTCGATTTTTCTTCTCTTCACCGTATCTACGTTTACTGCTGATCAACTGGAGAGTGTAATAGAGCGCGTCATAATGTTTGCTTACGCACAAGTTGTCATCGAAATAAATATGGGAAGATATAGAAATAAGAGCATTTGGTTTGTGGTAACCTTGAATGCCAAATTATTTCTAACAGAAGCTCATTAAATTTTTAATCTGACTCGCAGATACACAAATGTATGAACATTACTTTCTACGAACTATTTCATCCTTGAAAAATAACTCAAATCGATCTCACTTCTCATCGTTACAGACCGAACTTTCGAAGACTACTAAATATTTATTGGAATGTGGCTTTTTCGTAGAGAAAGATCCTGGGCTTACCGTGGAAGACTGGATAAATATGAAGATAAATATTGCAACACTAAACATGCTTTCGAGATTAAGCTCCAATGAGACAGTTTTATTACAAGTGCTGTCGTTTCACGTGGTATGATCTCATGTGGAGTAATAATAATCACTGTTTGTTTTTTACTTGAAAGAAAACAGTCTATATATGGAAAGTTGAATGTGTTATATTAATATGTATAGTTTGTATAAGCTTTTTCTGTCGTCTTGAATTCTACACTGGTATCAGTTACATGCTGTTGTTTTTCTTTATTGTCGTACCCTTCTGCTGTTGTTGCTACATATTTTTATTTATGTCTGTGTATGAGTCATACTTCAAAAGCCGTAAAATACGTTTCATCATCAGTTTTTGTTGCGAAAAACGAGTTTTCTGTTTACTTACTCTGAGATATAACGCACAGAAGAACAAGAAGCACACAGGTTTATCTAAGTGAAGAAAGAAATGAGACAAAAGTTTCAACAAAAGCTGAAAGAATGAAAACGACGGGTGATGTAGTTTCCTTTCTTTGAAAAAAGAACAACCTGTGCCGATGAATATAAGGCGCCGGCAATTCGAAGTTAGAGCAAATTTTATTTTTGACTTGAAACCATATCACTAGATGGAGTTTGGTCACGAGTATGACCTTATTTTTTCACTTTTATTTAGTTTTTACGGAGAGAAGCGCAAAATACTGAGAGGTGCTCAAAAATCTCAATAAACTAACTATTCAGAAAATCACCAATATCTCCCTTGTATTGCACTTTTCGCTTTCGCCGTGAACTTTTGATGTGAAATTCGGATTCCTTGCATATAGATGGGTCTCGACATGTGGTCTAGACCAAAATAGTGCGTATCGTATGGGCTGTGAAAGTTTTCTATGAGCACTGCTCAATTTTCACAACCAAACTTCGCAACACCATCTAGTTTTTCCACTAAAGACCTAGCACCTTCATTCATACGTCATTCGAGCTGCCGCGTCGCGCACTACAAGCTAATGCTTCGTTTTTTTTAATAATGTTTTTCGTTGATGAGATATAGTAGCTGCAATACAACCATGTAAAAATCCTTCATGTGATTTTCGAATAAAAATTTCATTTTTCGCTCAAAACTTGTGACAACTAGCTAGAATAGGCTAAAATTGATGCAGAATTTGATGGAAGCTGTTTCCGGATTTCAAGGAGATCTCTGAAAAACCCTATGCTGCCAAAGTCCATATTCCCTTCACTTTGTTAACTGATATATTTTCTGAACAAAATAGAAAAACACTGGAACTTGTACGATCAAACATCAAATATTTGTATTCGTAACTTCTCGGGCACTTAGAATTTTATCTTTGCACATAACGCTAAAAAACAGCTTCAATCGAATTCTGCATCAATTTTAGCCTATTTTAGCTAGTTGTCACAAGTTTTGAGCGAAAAATGAAATTTTTATTCGAAAATCACATGAAGGATTTTTACATGGTTGTATTGCAGCTACTATATCTCATCAACGAAAAACAATATTAAAAAAAAACGAAGCATTAGCTTGTAGCGCGCTACGCGGCAGTTCGAATGACGTATGAATGAAGGGGCTAGGTCTTTAGTGGAAAGATAGAGTTGCAAAGTTTGATTGTGAAAATTGAGCAGTGCTCATAGAAAACTTTCCACAGCCTATATGATACGCGCTATTTTGGTCTAGACCACATGTCGAGATCCATCTATATGCAAGGAATCCGAATTTCACATCGGCGAAAGCGAAAAGCGTAATACAAGGGAGATCCGGAAGCGAACCTTTTAACACCTATTGTTTTTGATAACTTACACAGAAAGTCATTTAAGTTTATACTATTTTGTTTATATCTATCTTCTAAATTATGTAAACGATTATTACGATTCACATATAATTTCTTATGTGACGGTAACCTATTTTGCTTTGTACAAACTTTTTCCAAGGCTATATTATATGCATGATCATTTTGGATTGATTGGATAAATAGATAAAAACCGGGACGAGCAACATTATTAAGTGATAGCTAAATCGATAATACCAACCTTCAACATTGTTATTCGCTCGACAACTGGGAAAATCATAATAATTCTATAATGAAATATCAAATAAGCTATCTTCAATCCAAGTTTCAGTGACATAATCAAAAAATGGTGAGATTCCATTAATAGTATCATACTCATCTGTTGTTTGACTCCATAAATCTTTCACAGCAGTTGGTGGCATAAATGCTAATGCAGCAGTTTTTTTGTAAAGATTTCTAATATCAATTTCATTTGGATCATCATGAGCACTAGAATTAATAAATGTAGACTGAAAACCTAAATTTTGTAATTTTATGTACAAACATTTATTGAAATGAAAATTACAATCTTTGATCTTGGCATTTCGAAATAATAATTCACATGCAGATATAGCACCGTTTATAGCAACCGTTTAAAATTTAATGTGACAAATTTTGGATTTAAAGTAATACTATTTCGATAGCATACGTTTTGGATATCTCGAAGTAATGAAATGTAAGCGTTTTTCTGCTTACGAAAAACTAATGAGTATAATTCTGGTGACGATAGACCATCATTCACACTGTGTATTGTATAAACTTGATAATATGGGCCAGGACATGACTGAAAGGTTCCATTCATTAATATATTCTCACTTTTGCTTAATTCATCTGAAGATTCTGTTCTTCCAAATATTAGATTTTGAGTATCAGCTGACAAAAATGGTTCATTATTTAATGTTTGACTTTACTTACCATCTGCTTTCACATCAGCCAACGCTTTAGGTGGCGGAGGGAAACTTTCGTTTCGTACTGAAGAGAACGATGTTTTAATTTGTTCGGTGAATCAACTTTTGTGTTTCATTATATAAAAATTATTATGGACACAATTGCTCAAAAGTTTTTAATAAACTTTCGGTAGAATTATGCCGTACGAACGAATTGGTTTACTTCATCGTAAGTTTTTGATATGGGGAATTTTAGTATAGCGTCTACGTTATCAGGTTTTAGCTGGATACCATTTCCTTTACTTAATACCGGAGATAAATTATTTCTTCACAAAAGAGGGTCGATAATCGTTGAAACTAGAATGGACCGTTACTAACACCATAAGATAAAACACTAACCTCAAACAGTCTTTGAGTCGTGGAGAGAGCTGTTTTTGTCTCTTCCACTGAGATAAGGGCATATACTCTAAACAAAAGTCGTAGATTAATAAACTACAATAAAAGAGTTTTTTGGACTAAAAAACTGATAAAAAAACCAAAAAGTTATTTAATGGTTTTTTAGCCCAAAAAACCGAAAAGCGTTCGTGGTCCTTTCAAAATGAAACACTCACGGTTTTTGAGAGAGCTTTTTGGGTCTAAAAAACTCTTTAAAAAGCCCTGTTAGTTTTTTCCTCTATTTTTCAAAATGACCAAAAAACTCTATGTGACTAAACAAAAGAGTATGATCTTGGACGCGAAGATTGAATCAAGCCATAAATCGGTTCGCCGAAACAATCAGGGTGCTCCTAGCGTAAAGAAAATAACTGTTCACGTTAGAGAGGATCTTCTGCACCTAGCTTCTTAAAATCGAGAGAAGCTATACCATGCTGAGATGATGTGTTTTTACTACATTCTTGAAGAATAAAACATGTTACTCTAGTAGATCAGTTGATAGTTTTGAAATTTGCACTAGCAAATAGTATCTCAAGAGTATTAGAAATGTTGCTGAATAAATGATATGCCAGAGTGTAGTATTTAATGGAATAAATAGAATATAGGCACGATCCAATCAGTCACCTATATCTTTTGAAAATTCGTTTTAACGCGAGTTTAGCTTGAAATTATCGCGCGAAACCCTGTTTACGAAAAGTTTACCGCTAGAAATTCGTTTAAAAAAAAGCGCCAGAATCGCGTTTGAATCGTCCTATATTTCATTTCCAGTGCAGCATATATATCGATGATTTGGGCTGAATCATTAACTAAACGAAACAATTTAATTTGTTCTTACACCAATGATTATACTTTTCTATAGAATTTCATGACATCAACGGTTTCTTGTGGATCTTGTGTTCGATTTTATGACCTCTGACTTAATTTGAAAAAATAAAAATCATAACAGATTTTACTAGGAACGGTTGTAATAAATCAGCAAAACTGAAGTTGAAGATGCCATAAAATCCGAAAGCATAGTTTGACAGCCTGACATGAGTACTGATCATTGGCATATGAGCGCCAGAATTTCCAGAGGTATCGGATGAGAAAGCTGATCTGCAAAATAGGCCATTTTCCATATTCTACCCCCTTTTGAGTTCACACGTATAACAACTACAGGACTTGTACAAAATAAATTCATAGTTTATAAGGCGCCGCTAATTCAAAAATCAAGTGAAAAAGCTTTTGAATTTTTAAACACATATTCTAATTCGTCGGACACTGCTGATTACGAGTATGGCCTTATTTTTTCGATTCTGAACGAGTTTTCATGCAGAACGCCTCAAAACAGGAGCAATTTTTGAAAGTCAGAAGTATTGGGAAAGGAAAGAGAAGCATTTCCGGTCATTTTCACTCAAAATCATATTGCCTGTTTTCTAGCAGAAACCGTTTTCCGCCCTTTAGCTTAGATCTTACTTTGTATAGTACACTTTAGACTATCTATTTATGAAGAAAAATTGATGGCTTTCCACCTGAAATTTCTGACGTATGAACTGGTTTCTCAGAGAGCCTCTGAAAAACCGATTTCAGAAATTCTTTCAGCAGATATTTTTGCTCATGAAAGAACAGATTAAACTGGCCTCTTTCAATTGCCGAAAACCGCAAGTCTCTATCTTTTATCATCCTTGAGTTATTAAAAACATATCCGATTCCACTGAATTTTTGAACACACAATAGTTTAGAAGAATTGACAAGATTTTGATAAGTTAACATACGAAGGAGTTTAAGAATCTTACAAGATTTCGACAAGAATTTGGCAAGACAGATTATATAATTACTATCCGCGCCAAACTAAAACGTGTGTGCTCGTTTCATGGGTTGAAGTTATTCAAAATGGGACTAAAGTGAGATCCTGATTTTCTGCGGTTCGGGCATTGTATCGGATTACCAATAGGTCCCAGGACTGACACCCGGTAATTCTTAATCGCCTTAAAGACGAATGGACTATGGATAATCGACCATGCTGAGTCTCGTAGCAATATTTGTTTTTAGAAAAAAATTTAAAATCTCTCGAAAAGCCAGTTTTATGAAAATTAGAGTTTTCAGGCCGTTTTAACCTAATATTAAAAAATTGACTCAAAGAACATCATAACAAGCTCGAAACCTCGGGATATGATTAATGTTGTCCGCTAAACGTGATTATAGGATCGAAAAAATCGAAAAAGCATACTTTTCCTAATAGGTTTTCCAGAAACTCGTTTGGAAAACCTTAGGGTTTTTTAAAATTTATTTCGAGATCTTCCATAAAGAATAGCTTAAATACTCAACATTCTGAAAATTTGAGCTTGTTCTGATGTTTTTTCAGTGAATAATCAATTTTATAATATTAGGTTGAAACAGCCTGAAAACTTTAATTTTCATAAAACTGACTTTTC